AGTAAGAGCGGGGTACGCAGGAACGTTCTGGGTAGCTGGGTAGTTCCCACTCTAACGCCCCCCTGATGAAGTCACTGCTGCTATGGGCCTCCTTGGAAGAAGGCCTAGCGCATCCCCTTGCTGATGTTGGGAACAGGGTCCTCAGGAGGAAATTTCACAGTAGACACTCCTCTCCTTTGTTCATCGTAGCTAGGAAGGGAATTTATCCAGCATCAATCCAATTTCCCTGGAGGGATGACTTCTTCTGGAATGATATTTTCCCCCAGGACCCACACTGGCTGAGGCTCAGCAGTTAAGGAACAAAAACAAAAAAATACTAACAAAAAGCATATAAGGAAGGCACCTCAATTTGTGATCCTCAACCAAGGGTAGGTTGCACAGGGGTTAGATTTCTGAACAACTAAAACAAATACAAAACACACAGAGATGGAAGCCAGGACCCACCAGGAGCAGTTCTTACCCACCCCCCCATGATAGTGTTTCAGCCCCACATCCTAGGAGGAAAGTTCTTTGGGGATAGTTTATCCTATATGCTGGACAGAAGCAGAATTAAACTGGAAATTACCCTCCTGACTTTCTACCCATACGCTTCCTAATCAAAGAAAGAAAAGAGGCAGGGAAGAGGTTAGGATTTCATGTTCAAGAATCAGGTAATTAGGAGAGCAGTTCAGACAGCAGTAGGCATCCCATGATTTAAACCATGGACAACATCCCTGTTCAGTAACTGCCAGGTGTGATCCTGCTCAGGTTCAAACCTGTCTGCCCCTGAAAGATGGAAAGCACAAGAGCGCCAATGCACACCCACATGTGTCCAAGTTAGAGTCCCGGGGAGACCAGCGATATCAAAAAACAAGATTCTCAATGGGAAGGAGGAAAATCAAACAAAAAATTAGATTTTTCTCTACATATATATAATATACAGATATTTAACACATTATTCCAGAGGTGGCTCGAGTCCATGTGGCTTGAGAGAGGGTGAAAACTTTTGTTCTAGATTAACTTCTCTCAAGTTCTGAAATTTATCAGAATGGGACAGGTAATATTTTGCTTCACACTGGGGCACAGACCCAAACTGGCATTGTGCCGGAGAGAGAAGAGAAGCTAGAAAGGCAATGAAGGATGGGAGTGAGGTGGAATGGAGAAAGCAAGAGTGGCTAGCAGTCTTCTTCCATCCTGCCTGTGTTCTCAGAAGTTCTCCGCCTGAGGAAGTTCGTAAAACCCCTTTTGAGGATAATGCAACCCTCTTACCAACCAAGTGGCCTCCAGTTGCCGTCAAAGATGACATTGAGAACAGCAGAGTGGTGGTTTTACGCAAGTGAAGATAGAAACTTCCAAGAATGTAACTCTGAATATTCCAACCCTACAAAGCACTCTCTCTCGCAGGTATTCCAATACCTCAGTTATCTACGCATGGATGCCCCACTAAACCAACCCCATGTGTTGATAATGTCATACCTACGCTCCACTGCAACCATTCACGATGCCTCTGTTGGCAAGTTGTATGTGTTTCTTTTTAAAGGAACTTCTAAAATCAGCTTTTGTTCTGAACAGCACCAATATGCCCCTGAATCATAATCTTATGCAGATCTTGGCTGAGCAGAATACTACAAGGGGAGGGTGAATGACATCATCTTAAATGGGGCAGAGGGAGAAAGAAGAGCCAAGAATACTTGACTTTGCAGATGTGGAATAACACTAACGTTCAGCCACTAAACCTCTCCCTTACAAACATAGGTATCTAGTATGTCGATTTCAGTTTCAATCAGCTAAGGCAACCAGCCAATCACCACCACTGGTGTCTGCTTCTGGTGATTGATTTGGAAAAATGATTGGTTAAGACAGACAAACTTGAGGAAAGCACTTGGTAAAAGAGTCACGACTGCCAGCTTTCCCACACATCCTCTGTCCTCTTCTCCAGCAGATCCTCCTCTTGTTACTGCCATTTCAGAAAATGTCCGGGCATGAGGTCCAGTCCTGTTTTTCTTTACACTCCCAGTATTCTCCCCTATAAATATGGGTTAACTCCTTGGTAACAGGGTCCTTCTTCCGCTCGAACCACAGTGCCTTATAGGGATCATACGGTGTGCCTAAAAGGGAAAGTGGGGAGAGGAAATGAACTTAGGCTGGGATTCTCCACACATCAAGAAGTAAGGGTAGAAGGCAAGTTCATTACCATCCTCGGTGGCTTTCATAGCTTCTGCTTCTCTCTTCTTTCTGGAAAGTCTTTGTTTTTCCTCCAGGCGCTGCTTTTCTGCATTTGCTTCATCCCAGCGCCCATTCTCCATCAGTCTCTGGTCAGGCCGTAACCGGCTATCTGTGGGAGCGGTGCCACCTTCCCAGGCGTTGAGAGTGAGAGCAAGCTCTGAGAAGTAGTACATGTTTTCTGCATTCTTCCTAAAAGACAAGGATGAGAAACAGGAAGGGTAATGCCAGAGCCCAAAAGGAAGCCAAAGTGGATCACTCCCTGTCCCGTCCTCCACATCACTCAATTCCATAGTCTTCTGGGGCTGTGTTGTGCTCAGCTGAAATGACCTACATTCATTAGGATCAATGAAATGCTAATGCTACTCCTTGTCCCTGTATCCTTTGCTTTCTTTTCAACTTCCTTTTGGAATAATCTTGGCTATGACTACAGACTGACAGACTTAGACGGTGACAGATGATAAACAGCCTCCATCTTACTTCCAAAGTCCTGTACAGTGTCTCAGGGACTTTTCAGTTGCTGCCGGCCCTTCAGGCTACATTGTTAACAGGTAATAGGCACCTTTCTCTCCTAGTGGCTTTGAACAGTTTTGCTCTACACTGTAGAAAAATAACTTTCTGAATCACAATCCAAAGGACCAGCATGATTAATTGAGCAGAAAATCCCTTCCTCCCTCTCTCTTTTCTTTCTTTAGTTTTGCCAGAGGGCATGTGTGCTTGCTGGGGGTGGGGTGAGTAAGGATCATGGGGTATGGACACACCGCAATCCTTTCTCCTCGCTCCCTCCCCTCTTGAGATTTCGGACACGCACACGCGCGCACACACCCAGCATGTTTCTCAAGCTACGGGGCCCAGTGCTTGTACCACGTGGTTGACCATGTGGGGTCCAGGTGCCTTAATCACCATGCCATAGGCTGGCCCTCTATTTGCTTTTAAAACTGTAGACTTGAGGCCAGGATTTCTTTCTTTTGATGACTGGATTAGAATATTTATAGTGAAAAGAACAATAAAACTGATTACAGGGAAACAACTGTGGAAATGTAAACAACTCACTTTCATTTTCCCTAAATCGATCAAGTCTAGTGATTCAACAGGCCTGTGTTATTATACGCATTCATCTTTAACCCAAATGAAAGTTTTGTTTCTCAAACTGTAACTCCTTAGATGCTCTATCTGGATAGCCACTAACTGGATGCCGTACCATGCCTGCTTTCTTTCTTTTTTTCTTTTCTTTTTTGAGAGATTTTTGCTATAGGGTGTGTGTGCTCACCACAGAAACAAAGAGACAGACATCTGAGAAATCACCCCCAGGGGGATGGCCAGCAATCCTTTCTCTCCATTCTCCTCTTAGGATTTTGGGCATGCACACATGCGCCTGGCATGAGTTTCAAGCCACTGAATCCAGGACTCAAACTGCGGTCAGCCATGTGGGAGTCCAGTGACCTAACCACTATGTCATCTGCTGCCCCCACTATACCTGCTTTCTAAGAAGCTGCAATAGTAGATAACCATGAGACAGATACTCAAAATACTAGACAACTATCACGGAATCCCTTCAGCGGTTCCAGCTTCCCTTGTTCAGTTACTCCCACAATGAAGTAGGAAGGCAGGCAGAAAGCTTTCAAGTGCTATCTGGGCAACGTGGTCACCGACACTCACGGTAAAGGATTCCTTTTCCACAGCATGACCCTGCTTTCTTCTGCTTCGTGGCCTCGCTGTCGATCACCCCCGTTGTCCCCCATGGCTGGATGTACTTTGAAACAATCCATTTTCTCATCCCATGTCCCCAGAAGGGCAAAATGAACTTTCCCCGATGGATCTGTCACTTCTCCTGTAACCTGCAAGGACAGAGAGCAGGGTTTTAGAGCATAGAATTCACTGCGGGTTAGCTTCTTTATACTGGAAACTAGAAGCTTAGAGTATACACAAGTTAAATCCTGTTGTAACAAACACCATGGTGTCATCACGGTGTTTGTTTGTTTTTTGTATTACTTGAAATAACTAAGCCATGATTAGGGATTTCATTATCATTTTTTGTTGTACAGGGATTTTACGCAATAATGTAAGTAGGAAAAGCATCTGAGTGGTATTCAGAACTGTATTTTCTTCTCTCCAGAAATCATATACCCACAACAAGATTTAAACTCCCAGCTATTCTTTACTCTCCCATACAAACGCGCAGCACAGTTCCACTGTGGTGCTAACACCACGGGGTTAACCTGCCCACACCGTCTTCCTGCAGTACTTTGACTCGCCCTTCCTCTGTGCTTCCCAGTACTAATCTCTCAATTCTGACTCTTTATTTGTTCATTCTTGTCTTCCCCAGAACAGGATTTAGTTTAATAATGCAATGCAGTCCTCTTCTCACTGACCTTCTCCTTCACCTCTACTTTTTTTCTGAATCACATTTAGGATTCATTATCTGAATTGCTATACATGCACACATACATATCCATAAACACACACATCTAGCCCCAAAGGAGCTGGGCTTCTAAAGGATATAAGCTAAGAGAAAAAAATTTACATTCTGATTTCTCTTACCTTTCTTGCCACATCCCGAGAGAAGTAGCTATAAGGAACAAACTTAAGATTACACTTGTCTCCTGTCTTGTGATTCACAATATCAATTTCACCAGACTGTTAAATGAAAAGAATGATGAATTAGTTTTCTTATGACTCAATGACCTGCATATCTGTCTCCTAATTCTTTATTTTTCAACCTTATGTCCTCTACTCCCTTAAGGTATAGGTCTTAGCCAACCTTAGGGAATGCTATAAAATTCCTCTGTGACCTTGGTATTCCAGGTTGACATCAAGACATAATAACCTGTCACTTTCCTTTGAATTATCACATGCTAGGTAACAGTATTTGGCCTTGGGACCAGCAGTTAGTGTAATGGCTGCGTCACTGAACTCCCATGTGGTTGACCGCGGTTCAAGTCCCAGACCCAGTGGCTTGAACTCCAGCCGGGCGCATGTGCATGCGTGCCCAGGATCCCGAGAGGAGAGTGGAGGAGAGAGGATTGTGGTGTGGCCATCCACTCTCAGGGGTGATTTTCTCGCTTTCTGTCTCTCTGTCTCCCTCTGTCTTTCTGGCGAGTGCACGTGCCCTACAGCAAAAAAAAACACCAAAAAACAAAAAAAAAGATTTGGCCTGCAGCACATATACCTGATTCTCACGATGCTTCACTATCCCAGCCAGTCCTTCACTAGCACCCTTCGTCATGAACACTTTTGCTTAAATCCAAGTATTCCACTCACAGTTTCGAGGTGTGTGTATGTGTGAGAACCTTTCTACCCTTTATCCATTTCATTTTTCCCTCCTTTCTGTCTTCCAAATACCAAACCATCCAATGAAACTCAGCTGAGCCTTTCCTGACTGGTTGGGGAGGATAGCACTACTCTTTCCTGAATTTAACACAACCACTGTCTTAAGAACAAACTAACAATTACGTATTATTTTAGTATATCATTTATACTAGCATATTTTGTTATATCCTTTTAAAAATTTCAAATGATACAGTAACTCCTAAGGGAAGTCTCAGCTGACTTTGTATCCCCAGGATCTAGCATTCTATCTGGCAATAAGTATTTGATAAATACCAAAAGGATTAAAAGTGGAAGCCAGGTCAGCCCCATAGCCTAAAAGTTAGAGGAGCCAGATAGCACATGGCTGACCAAAGCTTGAATCCTGACCCTGCTGCTTTAAAAAAAATAAAGCGTGTCATGTGTATGCACGCCCTTAATCCTGACAGGATGAGAAGGGGAGGAGAAGGGACTGCAGCATGCCCATAACCATGACCATGACCGCTGGGTAGTGCTTTCTCCATCTCCCTTGTCTCTCTCTCTCTCTGTCTATGGCAGGCACATGCACCCCCCAGCAATTAAAAATGGTGAGCCACATGCCCTCTAGCAATTATGTATAAAATTAGAAAACCGCGAAATGTTTATGGAAAATGTGTATTACGACAAAACTATGCACAGATTTTAGAGTTTTTCTTGCATCAAGATAAATTCATACTTTTCTTCCATTTTTTTCACAAACTTTTTGAAATCCTCGTATTCCTTTTTTTTTCTTTAACCTTTGCTATAGGACACATGTGTTTGCCAGAGACAGAGACATAGAGAGAGAAAATGAGAAAGTACGCTTAGGGGGGATGGCCACCCAGCAATACCTTCTGTTCCAGTCTACTCTCAAGGTTTTGGGCATGCATGGACACATTCTCGGTATGTTTTTCTTTTTTTAAGAGATTTTTGTCATAGGGTGCATGTGGTTGCCGGAGGGACAGAAAGAAACAGAAAAAAAAGTGAGAAATCACCCCCCACCCCAGGGGGATGGCCATGCCACAATCCTTTCTCCTCCATTTTCCTCTTGGGATTTTGGGCACACACACACACACACACACACACACACACACACACCTAGCCTCAGTTTCAAGCTGCTGGGTCCAGGACTCGAACTGCAGCTGCCCACATGGAAGTCTAGCACCCTAACCAGTAGGCCACCTGCTGCTTCTCTCTCCCGTGGTGTGTTTCTTTCTTTCTTTCTTTTTTTTAAAGAGAATTTTTTGCAATAGGGCATGTACACTTGCTGGACAGACAGAGAGACAGAGAAAGAAAGTGAGAAATCATCCCCTGGGCGATGGCCTTGCTGCAATCCCTTCTCCTTAACTCTCCTCTTGGGATTTTGGGCACCTATGCACACATGCCTGGTTTGTTTCAAGCTGTCAGGTCCAGGACTCAAATCAAGGTCAGCCATGTGGGAGTTTAGCAACATAACCATTCCCGCATGTGCTGGTCCTCCCTGGTGTGTTTTTCAAGCCACTGAATCTGGGACTTGAACCACACAGACAGCCATGTGGGATCCAGCCGCCCTACCCTCCACACTACCTGCTGCTCCTTCCCTTGTATTCTTTATGCTGTCCAATACAGTCCTAGCAGAGTAGTCACTGAATGGTATTTTAATTTGGTCATACAAATAATACTTTGTGGTATAGAAACTTAGAGAGGTGAAGCCAGAGCTACCATCTGAGACAAACTTAGGAAAAACTGATGTACCAGTAACGACATTCTCGGAGACAGTTCGCATGTCCTAAATCTGTAACAATATACTGAAGGAGGTATTCCCTCGAACTTGAAAAGCACTTTGGGCATTTTGGCTCACCTGGTCTATCCACAACTTGCCCACGATAATGTTGTGCACCGTCGTGGTGACTTTCTTCCAAGTATAGTGGTGCCCAGTTGCATGGAAAATACAGTGGATGGTACCTGGAAGCAGAGAGAGGAAAACAAATTAGGTCAAATATCAGAAAAAATAGCACCATGCATGCTAGAAATAACAATGAATTGATTTCCTTCTACTGGCATTTCTTTTTCTTTCTTCCTTTCTTTCTTTCTTTCTTTTTTTTTTTTTTAAGTTTTTTTGCCTTAGGGTACATACACTCTCTACTAGAGAGAGACAGATGGTGAGAGAGAGGATAAGAAATCACTCCCCAGGTGGGATGGCCACACTACAATCCCTTCTCCTCCATTCTCCTCCCAGGATCTTGGGCACACCCACACGTGCCTGGCATGGGTTTCAAGCCACTGGGTCCAGGGCTTGAACCGTAGTTGGCCATATAAGAGTCCAGTGACATAACTGCTATGCCATACGCTAGCCCCTCTATTGGTATTTCTTCATTTATTTTCTTTTTAAGAGAGATTTTTCATAGATTTTTGAGAGATAGGTAGTGTGCGTTCACTGGAGCGACAGAGAAAGGAAGTGAGAAATCACCCCTGAGGGGGGATGGCCATGCCGCAATCCCTTCTTTTCCATTCTCCTCTAGGGATTTTAGGCACATACACACATACACACACACACACACACACGCACACAAGCACACAGCGTGAGTTCCAAGCTACTAAGTCTGGGACTCAAACCACAGTTGCCCACATGGGAGTCCAGTGACATAACCATTATGCCATCTGCTAGTCCCAGTATTTCTTAATTTTAAAAAGAAAGCAATAAATCAAAAAGGACTTATAACTTTCTTAAATGTTAGAAGCACTGTTGAGTTTTTTCACTTGATTTTATAAATCTATAAATAAAATATAACTAAATGATGACAAACACTGACAACTGATACATCTTACCTGGGGACCTATATTCAGTAATGACAACTGCAAAATTTATAGCAACAAGTCAAATATGTCCCAAAATGTAAAAGGAAATCACATTGTAGAAGGAACACACATTGCTGGTCAGAGTCTATTATTAGTAACTCTTTTGACCTTAAGCAAACCATTTATCTTAAGGCCTTAATAGTAAAAATGGAATAGGGAATAGAGCAGGAGCTGTGGAATCAGACAGAACAAGATTCATTCTTGGCTCTACCACTCGTTAGACATATGACCTTATGTTGTATAATATGAATGTTTTGTCTGTCTGTGGTTCCAGGGAGGGACCCCTTAAGCCCTTGTCATTTTGTACATAAGAGAGTGCCTTTGCTGTTCATGGTAGACCTGGCTAGTTTATGCTAATAAGGTGACTCATGGTAGGCCCCAGATAGCTAATGCTAATGAGATAATTCAGAATGAGGAGGACAAGCCAGGACAGAAAGATCAACCATGTGATTAAAGGGTTGGGTAGAGTCATCGGGTATCTGACTTCCAGGGAGGGAAAAGGGACTGGATACTGAATTCAGTCAAGCCTACATGAGACCCCAAAAAAATCTCTGAACATCATCAAAGCTCCGTGGGGTTTGCTGATTGGTGAACATATTAACTGTGCCAGGAGATTCTGCAGGGAGAGGGCATCGAACTCTGTGTTCAGGACCTTCCTAGATTTCACCCTATGGGTCTCTTCATTTGATTGGTCCTGATTTGTATCTTGAATAATGAAACTATAATTGTAAGCACAACATTTTCCTAAGTTTTAAGATTTGTTCTAGGTGATTAATGAACATGAAAGACTTGTAGGAACCACTGAATTTGTAGGCAGCTGGTGAGATATACAGGTGGCCTGAAGACCCTCAAACTTGTGGCTGGTATCGAAGCCATGGTGAATCTTGTTGGGAATTGAAACCTGAGCTTACAGGGTCTGTGTGAATTCTGAGTGTTTAGTGTCAGAATAGCATTATAGTATTGCACCCTGAATGTTTTTTAACTTTCCTAGGCCTCAATGTTATCATCTATAAACTTGGGGCAACCACATCTTTTTATGAATTGTGCAGTAAATGTTTGTTCACTTTACCAGTAAAATGCTAGAAACTAAAGTAGGTATTTATAGTTGACTACTATTCCCTATAAATTAATCTCAAATGAATATCAAACCATATCAAAACTATAATATGTATATAATATATATAAAATGAATAATACAGTCAATTCCAGTAATTGTATAACTCTAAATTGTCCCTGTAACCAATAATGAAAATAACACACCAGGGACCAGCAGTTAGCGTAATGGCTGTGTCGCTGGACTCCCACGTAGTCAACTGTGGTTCGCGTCCCGGACCCAGTGACTTAAAACTCACGCTGGGCACTGTGCATGTGTGCCCAAGATCCCAAGAGGAGAATTGAAGAGAAGGAATTGTGGCGTGACCACCCCCTTGGGGGGTGATTTCTCACTTTCTGTCCCTCTGTCTCTCTCTGTCTGTCTGGCGAGCACACATGCCCTATAGCAAAAACCTCTCCAATAAATAAGTAAATAAATAACACATCAAAGTGGCTTAGACTTTTTTTTTAAACATTTTTGCTATAGGTCATGCACACTTACTTGAGAGAGAGAGAGAGAAAGAAAATGAGAAGTCACCCCTCAGGGGAAATGATCATGCTACAATCCCTTCTCCTTCATTCTGCTTCCAGGATTTGGGACACGCATGCACATGCTCTCATGTTTTTCAAGCTGTGGGATCCAGGACTAAAATCTCACAGGCACCCCTGTGGAATTCAGCTGGCTTGACCACATCACCATCTGGTCCATAGGCTTGTCTTTTTTCGTTTTATGTACAAAAGATTAATATAGTTTAATCCTGGTAGTTTTCAACAAATGGTGCTGGGAAAACTGAGTATCTACATGCAAAAGAGTGAAGCTGGAGCCAGCAAGTGGTGTGGTGGTTAAAGGTGCTAGATTCCCACATGGCTGACTGCGGTTAGAGTCCTGGACCTGGTAGCTTGCTTTCTTGCTTTCCCTTTCTCTCTTTGTCTCTCTCTGGTCAAATTAAAAAATAAAAACAAATGGAATTAAATAAATATTTTTAAAAAAGAATGAAGTTAAAACTTTACCTAATACCATATCTAACAATTAAATCAAAATCAATCAAGATCTAAATGTAAGACCTAAACGTATAAAACTCTCAGAAGAAAACCTCGAACAAAAGCTTTGCAGCTCCGAATTTGGCCATTATTTCTTGAATATGACACCAAAGGCACAGCTAACCACACAAAAAGACAAATGGACTTGAAAATTTAAAAATTTTGTGCATCAAAGGACAAAAACCAGAGTAAAAAGACAACTCACAGAATGGGAGAAAATATTTGCAAATCATGTATCTGATAAGGAATTACTATCTAGAACATACAATCATTTGATTCTCTTTCTAAGTCACAATTCCAAAATGTTAAATATAGCCATCCTCAGGACCAATATCTGGAAATCCCATTCTTTAAAGTTTTCTATGCACCTTATTACTATGTCAATTCTTTTCAATGTCCTGGTCAAAGTCTGGAGTTTTGTTTTGTTCACTTTTCCAAATACCAAAAACCACACCTGGTATAAAGCAGGTACTCAGTAAATAGCTGACAGAGGGAATTAAAACAACATATCCTTGTTACTCAGACCCTTAAATAACCATAGGAATGTAACACTATCAAAAACATTTTTTGACTCTAAAAAATTAGATCTACCACTTATACCATGTTCATGTAGTTATTAACCTCTTGAAGAATCCTAGATTAGTCAAATTATACAGAAAATGTGCAGCACTTCACTGGTAAGTTTGTTATCTGTTTTTTGTTTTGTTTTAATTTGCTAGAGGGCACTTACGCTTGCCAGAGAGAAAGGCAAAGGGAGAAAGTACTCCCTAGTGGGCATGGTCAGGTTCCAATCCCTCCATCCTGTCAGAATATTGGGTGTGCATGCACACATGCTTGGCATGCTTTTCAAGTCACCAAGGCTGGGACTCAAACCATGGTCAGCCATGTGGGATCCAGCTCCCTTAAACAGCAGGCCACAGGGCCTGTCCTGTTACTATCTTTTAGATGTATATAACAGTCTTTGAAATGAAATATAATATATCCTTCTAGAGATCCTTAAGGGTTCTCTGAACCTCTTTTTCCAGAGTGAAAAATCAAACTACAATATGACTACTGACACCGAAGTTCTGCAAATTAGGTGTAAACATTCCTGGTATTTACTACTCTTTCATTTTTTATTTATTTTTTTGGAAAGGTTTTTGCTATAGGGCACGTGTGCTCGCCAGAAAGACAGAGAGAGACAGAGAGATAGAAAGCAAGAAATCATTCCCCAGGGGGATGGTCACGCCACAAACCCTTCTCCTCCATTCTCCTCTTGGAATCTTGGGCACATACATACATGCGCCTGGCGTGAGTTTAAGCCACCGGGTGCAGGACTCAAACCACAGTCAGCTACATGGGAGTTCAGCAACATAGCCATTACACTAACTGCTGGTCCCGGTATTTACTACTCTTAATACTTTTGAAATTATTAGCTGTGAAGGCAATTAAGCAACTAGAAGCTTTTAAAAAGTCCTCAGTAAAGATTGAGAGTAATTTATCACTTAGACTCCTTTCATCTAACGGCCTTTTGCATATTATCTATGATGTGACACAGTTAATACTTAGTTTCTTTCTCCTCTTTTTAAAATACTATAACATGAGACCAGCAGTTGGCATAATGGCTATGTTGCTGGACTCCCAGGTAGTTGACCGTGGTTTGAGTTCCGGACCCAGTGGCTTAAACTCACGCCAGGCACACGTATGTACATGCCCAAGATCCCGAGAGGAGAATGGAGGAGAAGGGATAGAGAAGGATAGCAAGGGAACAAATAGAGAGGCATGACATTAGTGGGACACAGAAATGGTTTTTTATTACTTACTGATGATAACATGTATAGTATTCTCAACTGGACTGGTCTGTGAAGTATTTCGTGTTGGGTAAATTCTTTATACAAGCCAAGTGATATATAGTGATTGAATGTTTAAAAAATAATGAGAATAAATAATAATAATAATAATCTGAAAAAAATGATGAAAAGCTATTTGATGATGATGTGGATAGTAATGCCTTTGTCTTGACTGGCATGCATGGCAATTGTGCTGGAAAAAGAAATGTAATACACTTTAAAGATATATGTGATACAGTGTAATATAAAAGATTATGATAATAGATAAAAATTAAATAAAAAATACATGCTAGAATTTATGTCTAAAATAGTGCTTAAAGACATATTAAATACAGTTAAAGAGGATGAAGAACTTATGACTAGAAGTGTCCTTAAAGAGTCTCTGGCCTCGTACTCATCTGGTAGCTAAGAAGTTAAATTCTTTGCCCAAAGCTAGCTAGGAAGGTTTGGTGCCCAAATCCTGACTTCAGACCAGTGACTTTCTCCAGCATGCCAGAAAACCTTCTATACCCAGAGCTATAATTCTTAAAAAGATTGTGGCCTTACCGAGAGGCATAATGGAGAGGTATTTGCCTCGAAACTTGCTGGTGATTTTGATTTCCTGACGCAATGTCCAGCCATTTTTGGACTCAGCATGGTGTGCAGCAGCAGGGGGATGATGACTCACCTTAAAGAAATCAGGTTCAAATCAAGAAGGCAGAAAGAAGAAAGAAAAAGATACTGCCTATTAATTGGTGATAAACACTCAAAATTCATACTTGAAACTTTATATTGACACAGTAGGTGGATACCAGGACCTCTAATACTGAAATCCTAAAGGAAGAGAAGGAAGGCTGGGATAACAAGGGCTGAAATTTCTGTAAACTAAAACCCAGGGGGATCAAAAAAATTGATCCTTTTCTTCAGAACAGAAATATGTTATGTCCCGGAGGCTTCTTTACCTGCTCACAGAGGGATCGGTACCCATTCTCCTCTAACCGGTCCAGCTCAAAGGTCTCCCCAAGGAGTGGGTTGAATGGCTTGCTGGTACGGAAGACAGTGGTGGAGTAGGAGGATACGGTGAAAGCTGCAACATAGCAGAGTTGTTCTAGAGAGTTCTCACATTTTGCAGCTCGGTCTAACAGCTCATGGTATTCCAGATCTTCAGTAAGGCGCTGAAGCATGGACAAGGGCTCATTAAAATTCACCTGGAAGGAAAAGGACAAAAATAAATATTTTGCTCACACAACGATAAGACTATTTTTTTTTTTTTTAATTTTTATTTTGCAGATTGAGAAACAGATCCTGAGATGTTAAGCTGGTAAAGCAAATCTCTGGGCAGAGAAAAAAGGCCTTTGCTCAGTATAGTTGCTCTAAGATTTAACCTGCAAGTAACCCATTTTCCCTAGTCAATTGTTCATGTCAATAAATGACAGGAATCATCATTTTCACGTATTTCACTAACTGTAACTCTTTGTGATGAACATCATGCCTCTTTAGCACTATATACCCCAAAGCTATCACTGCCTGGACCATGAGACCTTCATTAAATAGGTACTGAATGAATTAATTTTAAGAAACAAGGGGGGCAAGCAGGTGGCGTGGTTGTTAAGGGTGCTAGACTCCCACGTGGCCAACCACGGTTCGAGTCCTGGACCTGGTGGCTTCCTTTCTCACTCTCTCTCTCTTGTTTTCGCTCTCTCGTGCTCTGTCCCTCTCTGGTCAAATTAAAATAAATAAATAAATAAATAAAGTTAAATAAAACAATTCTTTACCAAAAAAAAGTAATTACTTTTTGTTTGGAGAGGTTTTTGCTATAGGGCGTGTGCACTCGCCAGACAGACAGACAGAGACAAAGAGACAGAAAGCAAGAAATCACCCCCCATGGAGGATGGCCACACCGCAATCCCTTTTCCTCCCTTCTCCTCTCGGGATCTTGGGCACACACGCACATGCGCCCGGAGTGAGTTTTAAGTCACTGGATCCCGGACTTGAACCATGGTCGACTACGTGGGAGTCCAGCGACATAGCCATTACACTAACTGCTGGTCCCATAAAAAGTACATTACTTTAAAAAAAAAAAAAAAAAAGAAAAGAAAGAAATGAGAACCAGCAGATGGTGTGGGTTAAGAAGGTTGGATCCACATGACTGACTGACTACATTGTTTGAGTCCAGACCTGGTGACTTGAAAATCACACTGGGAGTATGTGTGTTGCATGCCCAAAGTCCCAAGAGGAGAATGGAGCAGAAGGAATTGAATGTGGCATGGCCATCCTCATGGAGGGTGATTTCTCTCTCTCTCTCTCTCTGTGCCTTTCACTGTCTCTCTCCAGAAAGCATACACGTCCTATAGCTAACTTAAAAATAAATTAATATTTAAAAAGGAAATATAATGTATTTTAGCACAGGTATATCCAGAGAAGAAGTCAGATATTTAAAATTCACGGGGCAGGAGAGAAATGGTAATGAATTATAAGTGTAAGTAAGTGTGTCATGACTACTGAAAAGACTGCATTATCGAAGTTAGCTTCCACCCGGGGCTAGACACTGCTAAGTCTGAGGTGAGTTCTGCACCAGGTCAGCATTCTGACTTCTTCTCTGAACCTGGATAGTTCTGTTTTGGGACCTGGAGTGCTCATAATGGGAGCTGACACCAGCCTGTGCCTGCTCTTACTTTTCAAGTTTTAGAGTCAACTTAGGGCATTGAGTCAAGCAAATACACGTGTGTGTTGGGGAGGAGGGAAGGGCTTCTATTAGAGATGTTCACTAATTCATTTATTGTTTTATTCACTGTACAAATATTGAGTCCTCATGTGTGCCAGATCCTCAGCTCCACACTGGGTACAAAGAAGTAGACAAAAGAGACATTGTTCACATTCCCCATCCCATCCTACCATACCCCACCTCAGCCTCTCAGAAAGTTAGCTTCTAAATTAACTGTTTAAAATTTTTTGTAAGAATTATTTAATTTAATTGATTAATTTATTTTAATTTGGAAAAAAAAAAAAAAGGAAAGAGGGGGGGGGGGAATGAGAAAGCAAGCTGACAGGTCTGGGACTCAAACCATGGTCGGCCATGTGGGAGTCCAGAGCCCTTAACCACTATGCCACCTGCCAGCCCCACTGTTTGGATTTTTAAATAACGTAACTATTTGAAAATTTGCTATAAAAAGAACTTTGATTTCCAACCTAGCCCATAAAACCCATTTAACATGTGATTCAGCTAAACAAGGTCAAAGACTTCTAGCCTGAGTTCCAAGTTCTGAGCACAGAAGGAAAAAAAAAAAAAAATCCTTTCTATTGAATGATTCTGGCCTTAAACAAAATTTCAGTAAAAATAGACAAAAGAACAGAAAAATGTCTTTCTTAGGTCCCACCTCTCTTTCTACATTGTGTTTAGCCTCCTACCTATCTTTACACCACTTACTACCCTAATGCTAGTATCTTATCATTTTCACTGTAAAACACTTCATAAAACAAGGGACTAGCAGGTGGCGTAATGGTTATGTCAAGGAATCCCACGTAGTCAACTGTAGTTTGAGTCTCGGACCCAGTGGCTTAAACTCATGCTGGGTGCATGTGTATGCGTGCCCAAGATCCCAAGAGGAGAATGGAGGAGAAGGGACTGTGGTGTGGCCATCCTTCAGAGGGTGATTTCTCAATTTCCCCCTCTCTGTATCTCTCTCCAGTGAGCACATGTACCCTATCACAAAATCTCTCTCTAAAAACAAAACGAAACAAAAACCAAAAAAACACTATTTTATAAATAAAATAGGAAAAATTTATCTGAAATGCTAACACCCAAAGATAACCACTATTAATATTTTTTTAAACTGCCAGAGAGTGCATGAGCTTACCAGTGAGAGAAAGGCAGGGAAAAGGAAAGAACTCCCCATTAGAGTATGGTCACACCACAGTTTCCTCTCTATTTTTCCTTTTAGTTGAGAGTCTGAGCATTCACTCACATACATCCTGTGTATTTTCACACTACTAGAGTGAGACTCAAACCACGATCAGACATGTGGAATCTGGCTCCCTTAACCACGTGGCTATGAGGCTGGGTTATTAGACCAACATTAGAACACTTATTCTTGGGGAAGGAGGATTTACCAGTACAGTATGCCATAGTATGGCTCCAAAGCCATCTTCTCTATACCAAAAGGCCCTGAGAGACAAGCAGTTTAAGACAAATGGACACGGAGGGATGAAGGACCAGTAAAGCCCTAATCCTCAAGAGTCTTTTTTCTTTCTTTCTTCCTTTTTTTTTTTTAATTTGCTAGAGGGGCATATGTGTTCATGGGGGGGAGGGGAGAGGGAGGGAGAGAGGGAGAGAGACAGATATACTTTTCTAACTGCCAGGGCTGAGACTAAAACCATATAGTGGGCCATGTGGGATTCAGTCACCTTAACTACCCACCACACCGCCAGCTGGTCTAAGTCTCACAGAGATTACTTTTCCTATGCCAACAAAATCTCTCAGTGGCAACATTTTCGACAATACAAAGGAACATTTCCATCCACTGTGAGGGAAACTGGAGATGGGTGGTGTACTCCACGGGTGGATACTAGACACCTCAGCAGTGCCTTGGACTAGAATCAGTGCGTCCCTAAGCTACTTTTCATACACACATGGTCTTGCCCACCACAATGGCTATGGAAACTGGAGTTTCTCTAAAAGTGCCAAGAATTTTGTAACAGTCATTTTGTGCTCAGAAGCCACAGGGAAACAAACGAACCAGGGTATTTAAAGTGGAAGGAAGCAGGGAATTAGTTACATAGCTGATGGAGGACTGGGCCACCAAAGAAGACAACCCAGAGGTTAGCAACAGCAAGACATCATAGCCACTGGTAAACTGCAGGGACAATGAGTAGCAGTAGTATTACTGCAGCACAGAGGTTGAAATTCCACAGAAGCTAAAACCGTAAGGGTAGGAGGCTTCTCCAATATAACTAAAGCCACACAGCCGCTGCCAGAGCACTGCCCAAGAGGGCACGCAGAGGAAGAAATGCCCTTCTGCCTGTTCTTTTCTCCTACTGGTGTATTGCACTGGTGAGGCCCAGTTGGACTCTAGCACCTGAAAAACAGTCCAGAAGAATTAGCTTCCCCATGACACGGTAAAGAGCAGGGAAAAGGTGAGGACTTGATTTGTAGGCAAACAGGTACAGGACTGCACATTCCTACTGGCAACGTCAACAAGGAACTAATGAGAAAGACAAACTAAGAGATCATGGAAACCGAGAAGCTGTGTCTAAGCAGGAACTGAATTTCTTTTTTTTAAAATTAATTAATTTTTTTTTAATTTTTATTTTTTGGAGAGGTTTTTTGCTATAGGGCACGTGCGCTCGCCAGACAGATAGAGACAGACAGAGAGATAGAAAGTGAGAAATCACCCCCCAGAGGGGATGGCCACGCTGCAATCCTTTCCCCTCCATGCTCCTCTCGGGATCTTGGGCACGCACACACAACGCGCCCGGCGTGAGTTGAAGCTACCGGGTCCGGGACTTGAACCATAGTCGACTATGTGGGAGTCTAGCGACATAGCCATTATGCTAACCGCTGGCCCCAGAACTTAATTTCTAAGATTGTGATAACCTGCCTTAATTTCTAAGATTGTGATAACCTGCCTTTCAGCCCACCTCCCCTATACTTCCTTCAACACACCAAATGTTCCAGGCAAGTTACGATTCTCTTCAGGCCCCTCATAAGCCAGTTATCTGAGGTTTCTCCACTGTTTACTCATAGCCTTTTCTTGGCTGGAGGTCAACATTCTTCTAACAAAAATCTTACATACTTATAAACATATTTGCTTTCCAAGAGCCAGTTAATTAATTACTTGTACTTGGGTGATCTATACATGCCAGTCACTGGGCTAAGGATCAAGGACATAAAGATGAATAAGATAGAATCCTTGCCCACCTGAAGGCAGTCTATGAAGAGGCAGAAACCACACACTGGTCCACAAGTCCCAGGATAGGATAGGGAGAGTGGCATCTGTATTTCTGTATACCAGGATCCTGGCTGTGGACAGAACCTGCGGCAATGCCACCCGAGCCCCCACTGCCTTCCCTTATGCAACTAGTAGAACTCCCCGATTTTTTTCTTCTTTTGTTTTTTAAGAGAGATTTTTGCTATAGGGTGTGTGTGCTCCCTGGAAACACAAAGAAACAAAAAGCGAGAAATCACGTTCCAGGGGGGATGGCCACAATGCAACCCTTTTTTTTTTTCTATTCTCCTCTCAGAATCTTGGGCATGTGTACACACATGCCTAATTTGAGTTTTAAGTCATCAGGTCCAGAACTCAAACCGTGGCCGGCCATGTGGGAATCCAGCAACATAACCACTACACCATCTGCTGACTCCTAAACCAATATGTTTTGGATTATTTTTTTCTTTTTATTAAATCAGGAGGTGCATGTGCTAGTCAGAGAGACAAAGAGTGAGGAAGGAGGAGGAAGAAAGAATCCCCCAATGGGGCGTGGTCAAGCTGCCCCATTCCCATTTCTCTATCCTGCTAGGATTTTGGACCTGTATGTACATATACCTGGTGTGTTTTTCAGGCCATAGGAGCCAGAATTCAAACAGCATGATCTGTCATGTGGGATCAGCTCCCTAATCACTAGGCCAAGGAACAGGTCCAGGACTGGTTTCTCTCTTTCTTTTTTTTTTTTTTTTTAAAGAGGTTTTTTCTATAGGGCGCATGCACTTGCCAGAAAGAGAGACAGATAGAAAGTGAAAAATCACCCCCTGGGGGGATGGCCGCGCCGCAATCCCTTCTCCTCCATTCTCCTCTTGGGATCTTGGGCACGACACACATGTGCCTGGCGTGAGTTTAAGCCACCAGGTCTGGGACTCGAACCACAGTCGACTACATGGGAGTCCAGCGACATAGCCATTATGCTAACTGCTGGTCCCCAGGACTGGTTTCTTTAAACTGAACTTATGCCTACATGATAATCTGGTACAATACTAGACAAACAGTGGGCACTCAGTTAATGTCTGAGGAACGAGCAAGCATATACACTTGCCCAGACATAAACTATGGAACTTGCAGGAGCACAGCAAGCACACCTGACATAGCAGAAAAGATTTGCTGAAAGAGATGCCATTATCGCTAAATCTTGAAGAAAAGGGCATTAAGCCACAGAAAAAAGTAGCAAGGGCTAGTGAGGAATTGAGAAAATCTAGGCAGAAAGGACTGTGTGCAAACACTGTGAGGGAGAAGACAAGACGTCACAGAGCAGAGTACCTGGAGGTAATCCTCATGTCTAGAGCACTGGATGTGTGAGGCAGGGCCTTCAGTGTGGAGAGGATATAGCAAGCCCACTAAGGAGTCTGGACTACGCTCCAAGTAATGAAGACCCAGTGAAGAATTTTGAGCAGCAGTGTGATATGACTATATTTGGAATTTAACAAGACCACTTTGGCAAACTTGTAGACAGATTAGAGGAAGGAATGACAAGTACAGGGAGGTAAGCCCTAATGTCATCTCCACCACGGAAACAGTGATCAACTCACTGAAATGAGCTGTCCTTGCTTTTGTGCTCCCTAAACCTTCCCCTAACACTACAGTAAAAAACATTTCCCATAACACCTGTTTTCATGCCTGTTTCTCTCTCTCTCTCTCTTTGGTTTTTCTTTTTAGGTTTTTACCATAAGATATATGCCCTTGCCAGAGAGAAATTACCCCCCAGGGGAGATGGCAACAATCCTTTCTCCTCCATTCTCCTTACAGGACTGTGGACATACATGTACACACATCCAGCATGATTCTTTCTTTCCTTTTTTTTGGGGGGGGAGGGTAAGGGTTTTTGCCTTAGGGTGCATGTACCTGATGAAGAAAGAGACAGAGACAGTGGTAAAGTGAGAAATCTCCCCCCCACACACAATGATGGCCATGCTGCAATCCCTTCTCCTCCATTCTCTTTCCAGGATCTTGGGCACGCAGGCACACATGCCTGGCATGAGTTTCAAGCCACCAGGTTGGGACTCGAACTGTAGTTGCCCATGTGGGAGTCCAGTGCCTAACCACCACCCCACCTGCTGGCCCCCATGCCTGTCTCTTTTTAACTACATGAAAGACAAAACTATTCTATATTTTTCTTTGCATGTTCCCAGTACATCTATATAGGAATCTGTTCCTAAGTAACTGTTACTGAACATATGCTTCTGATTCTAGGTGATGAGGGAATATACCAGATCTACAGGCAAAATTAAAACAGTAATGTTATGGGATAGTTTATGACTTTAAGGGCAACAGATACTATATCACAAACTGCCACACACTAGGCGGGGCCGTCGCTTCAGCACTCTCCCCACTGAGGTAAGAAGACCTACTGGCAGCAGCCCAGGCAGGACTGTAAGAACCTCACCGGCATGGGGATCTTAGAGAGTTCTTTCCCAATGCAGTTCTTCATGATGCTCCATAAATTGAGGCTATAGTTTGGCTTGTATGGTATTCTGGTTCTCTTTTCTTTTTTGGTCTCCTCCAGCTGATGCTTGTACTGAGAGCAAAAACAAAGCCATTCAATCATCCACAAAGAACAGAAACCCCAGTATTATAACCTTCTCTTCCCCCGTGCTAAAGAAAAAAAAAAAAATAGTATTTTCTGTTTCCCTTAGTGCTTAACAAACAAATTGTTGGAAATCATACCCTAATCCCCTCAGTACTGATAGCTCCCATATGAGTTACCTGTTCATCGAGGCTGATATCACTGCTGGCCCCACTGATATTGCTGCCAGTACGTCTGCACAGATGGAAAACACAGTGGTTAGAACAAATATCAAACCAGAGTTCAGTCCTCAACATTTTTTTTTTTTTTTGAAAATAATTTTCTTGCCATAGGACATGTGCTCCTGACAGAAAGAGACAAAGGAACCTAGAAATCACACTCCTGGGAGGATGGCCGTGCTACAAGTACTTCTCTTCCACTCTCCTCTCAGGATTTTGGGCATGCACACACATGCACACCCAGCATGAGTTTTAAGCTGCCAGGCCCGGGACTTGAACCGTAGTTAACTACGTGAGAGTCCAATGACATAGCCATAACACCATCTGCTGGTCTCTAGTCCTCAATATTTCTTAACAAAATACCAAGCACGCTGTACAAACCTGATGGATAATCAAATGACAACACTTAGAACAGAATAGGTATGAATTTGGGGCCAGCAGGTGGCATGGCAGTTAAAGACACTGGACTTCCACATGGCTGACCCTGGTCTGAGTCCCAGACCTGGCAGCTTGCTTTCTCGGTTGCCTCTCTTTCTCTCTTTTTCTCTTTCTCACTCTGTCCCTCTCTGGTCAAATTAAAATAATTAAGTAAGTAAATAAATAAATAAAAGGAATAGGTATGAATTTTAACTATCTCTGGAGAACTCATTCATGTGAAAAAGCTGAGAGTTTTACACTTTAGGGAAAGA